AATCAGTCTGAAATACACTTTCTTCAACTTCAGTTGTGACTGTCAATTTTAATAAATACTCATGAATATAGATTTCGCATTTTATTCCAAATCATCATTAAAGGTAATGAATAGAGTTGGAATAATGGAAATAGCAATTCCCCATACACTGTCTCATCTGCAATATATTAAGTAAAAAAAAAAAATTAATCTGTTCAGACAATGGTGCCCTTCTGCAGTACTAATTCTTACAATCAGAACATCACTCTAAGCTAAATCAAATGCCTTACTGAAGTCAAAACACAAAGCTTACAATTTCAACAAGAAACAGAAGCAGTCCTTTAATTAAAAACACTTTCAAAACTACTTTGATTGGGATGTACTACACTATCAACCTTTAACCCCCACTTATTTTCTAATAGATCATGTCTTCTAGCAAAACACCACGCCACTAAGTTTTCCTTAAGTTACCACATTTAGCCTTTAAAAATAAAAAAACACCACACTCTAACTGTAATTGTCACACATTCTTCTAAGAATCCCTCCCAACTCTAAGATTTGATGAAATCAAATAGAAATAGATGATTATAAAGAAATACTCTCCACAGCTTTGGAAAGAAGTAAAAATACTATAATTAATTAAAACTACGTTACATGTTCCAAGGAAGAGTTAGGTATTATGTCCACCTGTCAATGATGTACAGAAAAAGTATGAGAGACAGTCCTGACCAAGATAAACTATTTGTCAAGGAATCTTTATTTCTACAGCACCTCCCACAAAAGCACTCCAATTATTTTCAACTGCCAGATGTACATGGTTATTCAAACACATGGAGATGAGTGGGTTTGAAGGCAATCTTATGTCTCTGAGCTAAGCTGGGTAAGAGCTGCCAGCTTTCCCATATTATAACTGGCACACTGATTTTTTTCAGCCACACGTAGGAAAACAATACCCTTAAGAAAAAGGTACAAAACAGAAATTGTATATGGAATTTTTAACCAACTTCATTAAAACATCACTGAGCAGTTTTGAGGCATGTATCCTAATATATTTGAGGCACTGTACTACCTAGTCACTACAACTATGGCTACATTATGAAAACTACTACAGTACATTGTATTACTACCATAAATCCTGAATAATGTCCAGGAAACTTACAGACAGCATCATTAAACTAATAACCAAATTGGTTTTAACTACTTCTAAATAAGATTTTATTTTCCTGAAATGTTATATATTAATATAACTATTCAAAGATGATGAATACCTAAATGTTAGTTCACATAATTTCTGGTGACACTTTTTAAAATTTGTATGGGTTTGCATTTAGAAGAACCATATAAATATTAGTAGTTTATCAGATAACTATGCTGGACAGGAGAAATTCTAGATTTACTTTTCATTTCTACACATTTCTCCCAGCATCTTTAGGGATAGCTAGAAAAGAGAAGTGGTATTTGGAGTTGGCAAACCTCTGAGCATTTAAAAGATGGCAACATCACTCCCTCTAGGATGAAAAAGGAGAAGTGTTCAGCGCCTGCTGTTCTGAGGAAATACCTCCAGACTAGTAGTAATCAGAAAACAGGTTAAGAAAAATAATCAACTCTCTCATAAGCATTTATAGTAAACAGAAGACCTGTGAAGTGCTCTTCATTAAAACAATAGACAAAAACAATAGAAAAGCCAGCCTCCAAAGCATTCTGAATTAGACATTTATCAAACATAATACTTCAAAAGATGTTTTTATTACAGCTTCTATCTAGCTTTTGGTCATTACAAGCCTCAGGAAAAAAAAAATAAAATTATTTTTATTTAAACCAGGCAACTACTTCCACGTGCTGCTTGTACAAATCCCTCTGCTAGTCCGCATAGTCCCTGAAGGAGATTGCCTATAGCCTGCTCGTATCCTCTCACCAGAAGAAATCATGAAGAGCCCTTGTCAGTTGTCCTCCTAATGCATTTTGCTTTGGTATCTGGTATTTCCATAAAAGGTATAACAGTATAACCAGCATTTCCTAATCCCCCCTCTTACTGGGGTGTATTAGGAAGGTGTAAAACCTACTTTAGCAAAGACAACATTTGTACATAATCCTGAAAATATCTGTTATCATAATGCTTTGTTTATTCAGTCTGGCAAATTATTTTATTTTAACCTCAAGTATCCTTCATAAATGTCAGCAGTAAACTCAAATTCATAGTTGGCTAACAAGTCTCCCTTATGTGTATTTCTAATTAAGCTTCTTCCTAGATACCCAGCAATGTCTAAAACAAACATTCTACAGAGAATCAAAGTAAATCAAACAATGAAGTATGTCTCTTTATGAAACTGCACATTTATATGGGCTTCACCAGCAGAGGGAAGGAGATCATGGTATCCATGCATAATAATTCCTTCATGCTTTTCTTCTGGATATGCAGAAAAATCTCCTTGTCCTTTTCAATTCTACTTCAAACTTTGATGTCTTTCCCACAGCAGGTAATATGAGGTAGCATGCACTCTTTATTCAGAATGCAGTCCCCAGTAAGAATTTCTGTGTGTTTAAATGCATATATAAATATAAAACCACACACAATCGTATGTATCTTTAAAAGTGTAATCAGTCTGCTGAATGGACAAGACTGTGATATACTAAGTAAGAGCTTCATTTTCATGTCAGGAAACATCAATTAACTGAGTTCTGTACAGCTGAGTGGCTTGAAAACTTCTGCCAAGAGACTAAACTGCTCCTTTTTACTTACTACAGCCAATCCTGCCAAAAGACCATAAAAATGGATTTTATGTTTCCAGTCTCTCTATGCTAGATGGAAAAGTATAAGGCTTTTTTTCCTAGGTTTCTGACAAACAGAACCTTCCCTTACTTCACACCTTCTCAACTACCACACTAACCAACACTGAACATTTTCTGAGCTCTAATTATAACTTAAATCAGATACAAGAGAACATTTCAGATTGTTAAATCAAACACTCTTTTGTATCTATGGTTTTAAAGGGCTTCTCGCCCATTAGTGTTACAGAGAAGGCTATATCCCACTTGCGCTGCTATGGCATATGTGTTAAATTATTATTTTTCACATTTCTTCCGGGGAAGTGTTAGAACTGCACTGTTAGGCTGTGTGCTACCTCTTTAAATTCCAGTACCAATCCTTAAAATGGATTTAGCATCTTTTGCATCAAACATTAATAAGGCTCACTTAGGCACTCTTAATGTGAACGAAAATTGGGCTTGGTATGAAATGGCTACACTGGAACATTTCATGCTTTTGCAAGTGCAGGAGTATGATTATTTCCTACAGCATGTCATTATCTTCTGCCCTGTGGTTCTTTTTTAAATTATCTTTTCTCACTTAAACTGCCTACACTATGTTTTTAAGCTATATAGTTTCAATTTATGAATTGCATGCATGCAAATTTTGAGCAACTATACCACAAGCCAAGTAATAAACCACATTAAAGCATATTCCCTTCAGACACTACTAATAGAACTACAATTCTAAAAAGCTTCTAAGAAAAAAAAAGGAAAAAAAAACATATTTGACACTTAAGACACAAAATCAGGTCATTTGTTTCTAAGAGAGACAAGAAAATACTATTCTAGACACACGTGGAATCTCCTTACACTTTCCCTGAGCAGGTTTATTTCAGCATGGCAGGAGATGTCATTTCATAACCTCACAAAGCAAATTAGTTTTCTGCTTAGCTGTCCTTGTACCCAAAAGCTCCCCCCTTCCCTTTTCAGGGTAATTCCTAAAACATTTGCTCATCTATAACTCTAGATGCCAACCCACAAGGGAAGAGAGTCTCCCCTTGGGTCCACAACTATCATCTTCTGTTTCTTAGGATGAAGTAACTCTCTCGGACAACAAAGCAGTTTAAACAGTGCGTAATAGATTAGCACACAACACGGATGGCACGCTGCATAGCCGCTCAAGAGGATCAATATCGCTGTTGCTGATTAGTAGTCTAGTTGTGGTCTACAACATGTATGTTTATCTAAAATTACTCTACTGACCTTTGTACAGAAAATATTATTTCAGAGACAGTGAAATATTATTGCACTATAGCAATCGGCGTTGAGTTCACAATAATAAACACAGAGCTCCTTCACCTGCAAATGGCTATTAAATACAGAAAATAAAACTTGACATTCCCCAGACAATCAAAAGAAATTATTTATTTGGATGCTAACATCTGTCTCGAGATTGTAGCCAAGTGCTTTTCTGTGCTCATTTAGGACTCCACTTGGAAAGCTGTTCAGTTACATTTACCTAGAGATTTTTCTCTACCACTTCCCATCTGACAGAAATCACTCAGCTGGGTCTGATGAATAATAGCAAAAGGCAGCTTGTATCAGAGATGATTGAATTACATATTGTTGAAAGTGCCATAAAGGCTCATTCCAATGACTACATTTAATTTACTTAGTATACTGATGACCAGAAGCTGGTAGTCGTTTGATATCTTTATTTCAGACGACTGGAAACAAAAGAAATATTAACATTCTTTGCCACTTTCTCACTACTCTACCTGGTAGAGTTTGATAGGCAAAATTAACTTTTAAACAGAGGACTGATCCCCTACCCAAACCGTGTGCGCATACGAACCACGCACCGTAACACACCCGAAATCAAAGCAAGACAAGCGGTATTAAGTAAGATGAAGGAAATAATGTCCGAGGACACAAAATGAAATTGCATGGAAAGAAAATACATTAGCTTAATAGCCTTCTGAAGTCACGGAGGAAAGGCTCTTCACAAACTGATACACAAATGATGAGATGCTGGCGGCGGGCGGGTCAGCGCCGGGGGGCCCGGGCAGCACACCGCCGTGCCCCACCGCCGGGACATGCCTCCCCGCGGCGGGCGGGGCACCGTGGCGGCGGCGACCCCCGCCAGGCGCTGCTGCTGCCCCTGCCCCCCGGTACGCGGTACTTTTAGCGAGCCGGCGGGGGCGGCCCCTCCTCCGCGGCGGG